AAGGAGATCAATAATGAAATTCGCGTTTCTAATTATGATCCTACAAGTCATATGCGATTGGTGCAACGACGACAAGCGCAAAAATTTCTTTGCTGCAATTATTGCGAGGCGAGGCGCGGCCTTCAAACGCACTGCGTTTGAAAGTCGTACTTTCGTGGTTGTAGATGGTTGGAATCATGGGAATAGTTGGGTTGCTCCAATAAACATACACATAGTTGATTGACTAAGTTGGGTTGTGCAGAGTACTTGGGTTTGATGGGTTGGGAATATTTATAGAGGATAAACTCCTAGATCCTTTAGGGCTGGTTGTGACTTGGTTGTAACTTCACTTCTTGGATTTGATGGTGTCCCCTAAGAATAGGTCATGTCCAACTTGGTTCCTAAGCATCCTAGACTCTACGAGGAGGTTCTAAGGATACATAAGCCTTTTAGAACACTTTAACATGGTATCAAAGCTGAGGGGAGTCTAGTGACCCATTGGAAGAGCGACCTAGTGCAAAACAGAGTTTCAATCCTTGGTGGAAGCAAAAGAGCTTCCACCGATCCCGAAGGGCTGCCAAAATCGCACCATAGAGTGTCGTGGCGGCCCTTGGGCGTGGCACTGGTGAAGGGAAGGAGAAACACGCTGGACGACGTGTTGATCTGCTTGGGAGGACGAGAAGAGCGGCATCCTCTCTCAAAGGTGTTTGGTCAATGACAAGCGTTGGAGACAATCAGCACATCGTTGGAAAGAGCGCAATACGATCTACAACATCTGCCTTGTGGTCGGCGCCATTTGATAAGCGGATTGGGCAAAAATTAAGAAATTTGATCGGTGACCGAAAATCCGAAGAATCTGGGAGAACGCGAACAATCGCTGATCACGACCGGGAGAAAGGGAGTGGATCCCAGGCGCCAATAGAGGACGCTAGCGTGCATCCAACAAGCCAAAATTTGGGGGGAACAGTGGAGGCAGCATCACGAAGTCTCACTTCAAACGACCTAGTCAACTCGCCGACAACAAGTCGACAAACTTCGGAGAACTTAAGCGCCGAAACTGACCGTGGGAACAGAAAGTGCAATACTTTGTTGGAAAGCACTCGGAATAAGGATTGAGCAGCCAAAGACATATCATCATTTGGAGATCGGAGCTTGGAGTTACGCTCCAAAAACTAGGAGGGGGTGGTTCTGCCGACATTGCCCCGGTCGACATCGACACCACTGCCACAGTCATCGCCGCTCCCCTCGCCACTGCTGCCGCCACCGCCGCCGCCACCGCCGCCGCCGCCGCCAACATCGTCGCCGACGCTAACGCGGGCATGGAGAAAGACAAGGGTGATGAGAAATGGGAGAGTGTGCCAAAGTTCGATGGGAATGATTATTGGACTTGTAGTTTTCAGTTCGAGTAATGGGCGAAAGCAGATGACATTTGGGGATTCTATGATGGTTCGGAGGAGCGACCAACCTCGGGAGATGCATGGGGGAAGTGGGACAGGAGGAACCAAAAGGCATTTTCTCAGTTCTGCAATGCCTTGGTGCCGGATGAGCTGATTTGCCTAGTGCGTGAGTTTGGGGGCAAAACTGAGTTTGCCAACGCTGCTGCCGAAGGGAGGCAAGAGCTGGCACTCGCATTCCTGCACAAACAGTAGAGGCATACAAACAAGTGCATGATATCTACATGCAGCACAGACTGTGCAACAGGATGGCACTCTCAGAGGAGCTTTCTTCCTTGAAAATGAAGGGGGGAGACAGTGTGGCAGTGCATTGGGCTCGTGTCGAAGACTTGAGGTCCAAGTACTTGGCGGCAGGGGGGAAGGAAGAGGTTGAGGAATGGATGATGAGGATACTGAAGGGCCTGCCACATCATTTTGAGATGCTCAAAGTGATCCTCAGCAACCAGGCATCCTCACTCTCCAAAGATCAGTTGCTGACCTTACTGAGAAGTGAGGAGATACGCATTGGTGCGCGCCGACAAGTGATGGTGCAGCCACATTTGGCGCAGCAACTTGGGGAAGGGGAGATGGCGGCAGCAACCGTAATAGGGGAGGAGGACAAAGAAGCAGTGGCAGAAACAACAGCATGGGTCAAGGGGGTCCGCCGACGAGCAAGTCGGCAGCACCTACATTCCCTTGGGGGTCGAAGGGTATGACGCCACGAGGGTTGTGTCATGGGTATTGGAATGAGGGACATGCATGGCAGCGTTGCCCTCATCGGCCCAAGAGTGCAATACCAACCTTCCTCAAACGATCGGGTAAGTTCAGAGGCAAGGCACAAGTAACGGATAAGGAGGAGCAGGAGGACTAGGCAGAGGTAGCTTTTGGTGAAGCAGTGGCAGCGGCCGGGCAGCAGGCAGCATAAAAAAGGCAGCCGCGAGATGGATGGTGGATTGATAGTAGAGCCAGCCACAACTGCACCCCCTATGTGACCGACTTCCAGAGTAAGCTCGACCCACCAGAGATTAGAAGAGTGCGATTGGGGGATGGACGGGTGGTCAGTGCTAAGGGTATGGGTGAGGTACTAGTGCTTGGTGAAGGGGCCAAATTATGAAGGTTACAAAAGGTGCACCGTGTGCCTAAGATGCACACCCGCCTTCGGTCTGTCCCACACCTCACCTCTAGGGGAGTTATAGTAATGTTTGAGGGCACACAGTGTGTGCTTAAGAGAGGGGAGCGGGTGCTGGCGACTGGAGAGAAAGAGGGCGGCAGGGATCATGGGTTGGTGAGGATGCAGCTTCCACTGGCTCGGGGAAACCATGGAAATGCCCTTGCAGCTCACCCACTCACATCTCTCTCTCCTCTCACTCTTGCCGATCGCCGACTTGGTCACACTACGCCGACAACACTTCAGTAGATGGCCAGAGGTAGCAGTGTCATTGGATTGGATATTGGGGGGGTCGGTGGGGATTGCCCCACTTGTGAGTCATGCTTATTGGGGAAGTCGGCAAGGAAACCGTTTCCTCATGAGACATCACGGGCTCTTGGACCCTTGGATGAGGTTCACATGGCCTTGTGGGGCCCTGTGCGCACGCCGTCCTTGGGAGGGGTGGTGTACGTATTCAGCCTTATTGACGACTTCACTAGGCGGGTTTGGGCATTCCCCCTGCCCAACAAGGAATCTGCCACTGTGGCCCTTGCTCTTCGCAAGTGGCACAAGGATGTGGAGCAAGAGTCTGGCCGTCAACTGAATGTGCTTCGCTCCGACAGAGGTGGCAAATTCCTCTGGGAAGCAGTGAAGCAATGGAAGAGTGAGTTCAGAATTCAAACTCACCTGACTGTAGAAGACTCGCCACAGCATAATGGGTTGGTAGAGAGGTGGCACCGGACGATGACGGAGGGAATTCGCACCTTGCTGGTCGGCAGTGGTCTCCCAGCAAGATTGTGGGGTGAGGCCCTGCTGTGGGTCGTGTGGGTCAAGAATCGGGTACCCCATAATGCATTGCCTGCCCTCATCACTCTGCTTGAGGCTTGGTCAGGATGCAAACCGCATGTCGGCATGGCTCAGGTTTGGGGTTGCATGGGGAGTGTGATACTACATGGACCGGAGCGGGGTGGGAAGCTTGATGCACGGGCGGTTATGTGCGTCTATGTTGGGGTGGACATGGAGAGCAAGGGCTGGAGGATGTTGGACCCTTCTCTCATGTGCATTCGCATTGCTCTGGATGTCGACTTTCTCGAGAATGTGATGTAGAAGAATTGGAGTGGGCAAAGGCCTTTGGAGACCTCACACAAGATGCCGCCGCCATCTCTCAGCTCCTTCCCTGCCCCCTTGCGCAATATGCAGCGGGGGAAGACCCTGCCGACATGCCTCTACCGCCGGCCCCGGCAAGTATGTCGGCACAGCCGGATATGTCGGCAATGTAGTCTGCCGACGTGAAGGATTTGGGTCCGGTCTCTACCTACCTTGGGGTGGAGGTAAGCAGGTCGCGTGAGGGTGGATGGCTGGAGATTGGGCAGGAAAAGTGGCAGGAAAAATTGTCTGTATGTTTAGCATGTTTTTGCATTTTGATGAGTTGTACGCTGTAAACATTAAGCCTTAGTCCATGGTGGCCATACACGTAAAGAAGAGCAGTTAGAGCACTCACTCAAGTCTCCTTAAACCAGAGTAGTATAGTCCATGGTCCTTCAACACAAAAGCCTTTAATAACAGCACATCCGGACAATGTGTACCGAGGACAGGCAGCAAACTAGAAACTAGCAAAACTAATACCCAGTCCAGCGTCCCTTTGCGCGAATCACCGCCTTGATCCTCCTTAGCAAACTGTCGATGAGGTTTGAGCACACTTCCACCGGAATCTTATCCCATTCCTCCTACACCCTCTCCCAGAGCTCCAACATTTCAGTTGGAAACAGAAAATAGAAACGTAAAACAATGAGCAAAACCACAATCATTTCAAAACTACAGCACACGTCGTCGAGGAGTACGTGGCGTAACTCCACAAAATTTCGTCATCGCATGGCGTGTGTCGATTGGCTAGCGTGGTGTTTCCCCGTCAGCCAGTGAGTAGATGGATCACAAGGGCGAGATTTGTTTAGGTTTGTGTCACATTGCGCTCGCAACTGGTCGTCGACCACTCGGGAGTGCAGTGACGTGGAACAGACAGATTTCTAATGGTGGTAACGAATGTTTCACATGGGGGCTGCGGCTGTTTTCATCGGCTGGGTGCGTACATGAGTTTTGCACCTATGGAATAATTGCCCGGTGAAAATTTTGCGCTAGTCGTCGTTGCACCAATCGCATATGACCTGTACCGCCCTATGCTCTAAGTGCCTCATTCCAACATTCCTGGACTTCGCACTACGGGAAGACGTTCTGGACTTCGTAGGAATCCGCCCTCAGCTCTGCCGAGCCTCGTGTGCTCTAGGCCTAGCTATATCCAGACTCCCTATATCCTCGTGTATTGTTTCCTCGCTACTCAACTATTCGACACAGGCTCTTTGCGCTTCATTACAGTAAAGACTTCGGTATCCTGACGTAGCGACCCTGGCTTCTTATGACAGTTTGAACTGCTGGCTTCTCACTAGTTCTGATTTCAGAGCATCCTGGTCGCAAGCACGAATTCGACGTGTTTCCAGGCTCGGTTCCATTCCGAACCCGCCGCCTGGCTATATCCTCCATCCTTGCCTTTTCAGCACCAAGCCCAAGGTCTTTCGCCTCTGCCGCGTCGCGTTGGTTAAGTTTCGTCAGTCTAAAGCAGCGCGGCTTGAGCGAGAGCTCGACTCCCACGCTCTGACTCGGGAATTCGCTGCTCCAGCAAATCCCACCGTCCGGGGCCTAAACGCTCCGTTTCGCGGCGAAAGCGCTCAGAATGTCCTGATGATGCTGCCGGTTGCCACGATCGTCGGTAGTGGTGAGGCCGTTCAGAGGCCAACGGATAGTCATGGAGGATCGCGACTCCGCGACGCAGAGTAGCGCCGCGACGCTGCGGCTTTTGAGACGTGTTGAATGAGAAAGAGTCAGAGTACCCACCATTGCCATCATTGCCGCTAACGATAGTCAGGGAAGATCAATTGACTCCCGAGGCGGCGCAGAGTAGAGCGGTGCCGCGGAGGCTCATTTCCCATCGTTCTACTTTCGTCAGCGCTACTACTACCGCTGTCGCCCGCACATGACCTAAAACAACTGTCGCCCGCACATGACCTAAAACAACTGTCGCCCGCACATGACCTAAAACAACTGTCGCCGACACAGTACCTACCGTTGTCGTCAAAGCTACTACGACTGCCCGAACTATTAGCACCGTCGGAGATGGCGGTGATGGGCGGCGCCATGGTCCGCGCGGGCCGGGTTCTCTTCGAGAGCTCCGTCATGCTGGGCTCTCTCGCCGCTCTCTTTGCCACCGGCTGGTGGTTCCTCGTCGCGCGCCTCTACAAGGTGCGCCCGTTATACACAAATCCGCTATGCATATAGAGTGTATAGTAGCGGATTTTGTTCGAGGGCTCTATCATACTCGGCTCGCTCGCCGCTCTTTTCGCCCCTGGCTGGTGGCTCTCTGAAGCTCGGCTGTGAATGGGTGTGCTCGTAATAAGACGTCTCAGCTTGCTGTTTGAAGTGCGTATGGCTGGTGCCTGATCGCAAGGCTGTTCAAGGTGTGTTCGTGATAAGGCGTTTCAGCATGCTGTACAAAGTTATGCATGCACGGCACATGGGCCCCACTGATATGCATGCACGGCACATGGGCCCCACTGATATGCATGCACGGCACATGGGCCCAACTGATATGCATGCACGGCACATGGCTCCCACTGATATGCATGCACGACACATGGCTCCCACTGATATGCATGCACAGCACATGGCTCCCACTGATATGCATGTGGCTGACATGCATGGGCCAAGCAGCACACGCGTATGGTCTAACCCCCACGCGAATGGATGAGGGGCATGAGGGGATTTCAGACAATCCCTGCTCCCATCGCCCTCACTCTCCTCTGTTGTCTCCTTGCATCATCTGTTCTGTTCTGTCCTGTTCGGTTCTGCTCTGCTCTGCTCTGCTATGTTCTGTTCTGTTCTGCTCTGTCCTGTTCTGCTCTGCTCTGCTCTGTTCTGTTCTGCTCTGTTCTGCTCTGCTCTGCTCTGCCCTGCTCTGCTCTGCACTGTTCTGTTCTGTACTGTACTGTTCTGTTCTGCTCTGCTCTGCTCTGTTCGGTTCTGCTCTGCCCTGCTCTGTTGGGTTCTGTGCCCTTCTGTTCCCTTGCCCCACTCTCCCCTTCCCGCTTTGCATTCGTCTCAACCGCCTCTGTTCGCCCTTACCCCGCACCCTGTGCTCGCGCTTACCCCCCGCCACCTTCCTGACCACCACGCCCTCAGGACTACGAGGAGCAGTTCCTGGCAGTGGAGGTGCTGTTTGCGGCCGTCTTTGCCCTCTCCTGCAATCTGTTGCAGCTCGTGCTCTTTGAGATCCTCCCCGTGCTCGGCACCAGGTGAGCTGCCAGTGCTCGGCACGAGGTTGGCTCTTATCACTAGGCATGATATCAGCTCGGCTATCATGCCAACGACTGGTGATGCATGAACCTTGAACCCCTGACTGACCCTCAACTGAACATCCTTCTCGTGCCATTTGAGATCCTCTCCGTGCTCGCCACAGGGTCAACTCTTCACAGAAAGCGTTCCTCACAGAATCCGCCCCTCACTGTCTCCTACCACAGTCCAATCTTCATTGTCCACGTGGCTTGGGCAGTGCGCGGCTGTGGAACTGGCGCTTTGACCTCTCGCTGCTGCTCGCGCTGCTCATCGTCGTGCTGCCCTGCTACCACTCCTTCCTCGTGCTCGCCAACACCGGTACGCTCCAGGCACGCGTGCCCTAATCTGTGTGCTCGCCAACACCGGTACGACACCAGCCAACACCAGTACGAGCTACCATGCTTGCAGTCTGCCTCCTCCTCATCCCCCCCACGTGTTACTGCTTGCAGTAGTTCCTGCGTGATTCCGACCTATAGCCCCTCCCTCATCCCCCCCACGTGTTACTGCTTGCAGTAGTTCCTGCGTGATTCCGACCTATAGCCCCTCCCTCATCCCCCCCACGTGTTACTGCTTGCAGTAGTTCCTGCGTGATTCCGACCTATAGCCCCTCCCTCATCCCCCCCACGTGTTACTGCTTGCAGTAGTTCCTGCGTGATTCCGACCTATAGCCCCTCCCTCATCCCCCCCACGTGTTACTGCTTGCAGTAGTTCCTGCGTGATTCCGACCTATAGCCCCTCCCTCATCCCCCCCACGCTCCTCACCTGTGATCGCTGCTTCCTTGGCTCGCTGCAGGCATGAGGCGGGAGCGTGCAGCAGCAGGGGCCGTGGTGTTTCTGGGGGTCTTCCTCTACCTCTTCTGGCGCATGGGCATCTCCTTCCCCATGCCCACCCCCGACAAAGGCAAGCCTCCTTCTGCTCGTTCTTCCAGCACATGGGCACCCGTTCCCCATCCATCTTGTGCATATGTCTACTCCCCATACCACTCCGGACAAAGGCGAGCACAACACGTTTGCCTCTTCTCTCGCATGATGGGCATCGTTGTCCATCTCCATGCCCCCACCCCAGACAAAGGCAGGCATCTCGTGACCCATGCACGCCGTGCAGCAGCCTAGAAAGCAGAAAAGCAAGCATCATAGGTCCCGTGCCAATTCCTGTGAGAGGCATAGTTGGCATGAGTGGGGCGGGCGGGGTCACCGATAGGAGAACAGGCTTGAAGCGCCTCAAGAAGAGAGCCACAGTGTCAGAATGTCATTGCTCTGGTGAGTGGAGTGGGCGTGATAAGATTGTGACTGCTCGGTCTATCCCTCGTTTACCAGTCCATGTCTTCCCTTGCATTCCTGCACCTCTCATCAATGTGGCGCACATGGTGAGCCCAGGGGGGTCATAGCAACGAGCCTCGTGGCTGCTCCCTCCTCTCGTATTCTCTCCAATACATTTGCATGTTTTGGTCACTTCCCCCCTACGCCAACCTCCCAAACAATTGCCCCTTCTCCCCTGGTCTGTGTCTTGTGGTGCAGATGGTGAGCCGAGTGGGTGTGTTAGGAGTGACGCCCATGACAGAGCTTTTTCTCCTGCCTATGCCCTCCTGTACCCTTCGATGTCTCTCTCCTCTCCCCCTTCCCCACTCTCCCTTCTCCCCACATCTCTTCACAGTGGTGCAGATGGTGAGCCAGGTGGGCGTGATGGGGTTGACACTCATGTCAGTACTGTCTTCCCCACCTACGCTCTTCCCTGCCTTTCCATGTCTCTCTTCTCCCCCCCTCCCCCTCCCGCCTCCTTGCCCTTCTCCCCTGGTTTGTTCACTGTGGCGCAGATGGTGAGCCGAGAGGGCGTGATAGGAGTGACGCCCATTGCAGAGATGTCTCCCCCACCTACGCCTCCCCTACCCCTCCATGTCTATCTCCTATCGATCCCCCCTCTCCCCCTCCCCCTCCTGCACTTGTCCTTCTCCCCAGGTCTGTTCACAGTGGCGCAGACGGTGAGCCGGGTGGGCGTGATAGGGGTGACGCTCATGGCAGTTCTCTCAGGCTATGGCGCTGTCAACCTGCCCTACACCTACCTCTCGTTGTTTATCAGGTAACACCTACCTCTCGTTCTTGATCAGGTAACACCTACCTCTCATTGTTTATCAGGTAACACCTACCTCTCATTGTTTATCAGGTAACACCTACCTCTCACTCTTCAGCAGGTAACACTTATCTGTCGCTCTTCATAAGATCACACCTACCTCTCATTGCTTATCAGTTAACACCTACCTCTCGCTCGTCATCAGGTTACACCTACCTTGTTCTACATCCGATAACTCCTATTTCTCATTGTTATCAGCTAGCACCTACCTTGTTCTTCATCAAATAACCCGTGTTTTTCATTGTTTATCAGGTAACTTGCTGTTCATCAGGTCACACCAACCTCTCTCTTTGTATCTGGTAACACGTTTATAAGTCTACTCACAACACAGGAGCTTAGTGCATGAGGCATTTGCATGTGTCTTCCATATGTGCATGTGTCTTCCATATGTGCATGTGTCTTCCATATGTGCATATGTCTTCCATATGTGCATGTGTCTTCCATATGTGCATGTGTCTTCCATATGTGCATGTGTCTTCCATATGTGCATGTGTCTTCCATATGTGCATGTGTCCTCCATATGTGCATGTGTCCTCCATATGTGCATGTGTCCTCCATTTGTGCATGTGTCCTCCATATTTGCATGTGTCCTCCATATGTGCATGTGTCCTCCATATGTGCATGTGTCCTCCATATGTGCATGTGTCCTCTGTGTTACATGTGTCTTCCACCCATGTGTGTGCATGTATGAACAGGGAGATAGACGAGGCAGAGATAGGTGTGTTGGAGCGGCGGCTGCGGCATGGCATGGAGATGCTGGTGGGGAAGAAGAAGCGAGCCCTGCTCATGCGCATGCAGCTGGATCGAACACACCCCGAGCTCATGCGGGTGAGTTGTGCTTTGCTTGGCTCGAGCTCTAATACACAAGTTACAGATTTCAGAGGGTACGCTATCTTTGTCACACCAGCCCTGCAAGTGCGCATGCAGCTTCGAGAGGACGCACCTGCCCCACAAGTAACACTGTGCTGGTCACCTCCACAGGACCCACTCAGAGCTGATGCGAGTCAGTGCAACCCCCCCCCCCCCCTTCCTGCCCACCACCCCCTTGCTTGTGCATGCCGCCAGGATCTGCATAGAGGGCCTCGCGAGGCGTCTGTCTTGCGATGAGTCTGTAGTTCCCTACCGAGCCCTCCACTCCCCCACCCTTCCCTTACCCATGGCTGCCACCAGGAGCTGCACGGAGGGCCGCAGGGAGCATCCGTCTTTCGACGGTTTGTGGGGCTGCTGATGCGCGCACCCCGGGAGGAGGAGAGGGACGAAGGTGGGGAGAGGGGCGAAGGTGGGGGGAGGGACGAAGGTGGGGGGAGGGGCGAAGGTGGGGGGAGGAATGAAGGTGGGGGGAGGGGCGAAGGTGGGGAGAGGGACGAAGGTGGGTGGAGGGATGAAGGTGGGGAGGGCTGTTGATTACCCTTTCCCTCTCATCTCTTGCCCTCTAGACCCCCCCGCCCCCGCCCCCTCCTCCATTCTTATAAACATCCAAGAGAACGCGCTTAAAGGGATGCCTTCCTTTGCTCCGAGATGCAAATCCCACACTCCTTCCTTGTATACCCTCTTTCGTCCTTTCTTCCTATCCCCCCCCCTTCTTCCCTCTCCCCCTTCAGCCCCGGCCACACCCACCGGAGAGCATGAGGTTCAAGGGCTGCCCCCTCTTGTAAGAGACATCCACTCTACAGGGGCTGAGACCAAGGCTCTTGAAAGTATCGCTCATTCTTTCCCCACTTTCCTTCGCCCTCTCTCGCCTTCCCCTCCCCCACCACCAGAGACCATGCGGCTAAAGGGCTATCCCCCTGTGCTGCTGGACATGCACGCCACCGAGGCTGAGATCAAGGCACTGGAAGCCCTCACCCGCTCCCTCTTCCTTGACATCTGCAACCTTCGAGAGGAGAAGGTGAGGGGCGAAGGGGAAGGTGAGGGGCAAAGGGGATGGACCAAAACCGACAACCTGAAAGGAGTTAGACTGCCGAAGGTGAGGGGCGGCGGGTACCTAAGCCTCAAACCCTAAGAGCCAAAGGCGCCTGAAGCCCTCACCTGCTCGCTCTTTCTCGACATCTGCAACCTCCGAGACGAGAAGGTGAGGGGCGAAGGGCTTTACTCTAAAGTCGAAATATGTTCCTTACAGCGGCTTTAAGCCCTCACACGCTCTCGTTTCCTCAACATACGCCACCTTAGAGGGGAGAAAGGGATGGCATTGGGGTTAGACCTGGAAGAAAGCGACTGGATTTCAGCTGCACCTTCAACCTTCAAGGATCACCTTCACACACTTGTTGTTGCGACATATGTAGCCCTCATACTATGAGGCTCATATGGGAAGAGATGGGGGGCAAAGTGTCTAGACGTGGACATCAAAACCATACATCAGCATTGAACCATGGCAGGTCAACACACACACAAGGGGCACATTACAGTTGACCTCCCCCTTGCACGGTTGCACCCTTTCACCGTGACAGTTTCACGCGGGGGCCATGGCCTGGTGGCGCACTTGGAAGGGGCGAAGGAAACTCGGCTCTCTCCGGTTGCCTTCTTCTATCCTCCGGTGATCCTTGGGCAGGCAGCCATGGCCCACTCGCACACGTGGAAGCTGATTCGCCTCGTAGCTGATTGCCTGTCCTCTCCCTTCCCCTTCCTGTCGTCCGTTCTCTCCCTTTCCATTCCTTTATTTCCTTCTCCTCTGTTGCAGGAAGCTGTGGCCTACTGGCGCACGTGAAAGGGGTGCGTGAACAACATGTCTGCACCTGTGCACGCTCTCTCTCTCCCCCCGTTCCCTCTTTTCCCACTCGCCCTTGCACCCTTGCACCCCCTACAGGCAGCCATGGCGTACTCGCGCACGTGGAAGGGGCATGTGAAGAACATCTTTGGCTACATTGGCTCTGCCTACTGTATTGCCAAGATGTACACGGTACTGTATTGCCAAGATGTACACGGTACTGTATTGCCAAGATGTACACGGTACTGTATTGCCAAGATGTACACGGTACTGTATTGCCAAGATGTACACGGTACTGTATTGCCAATATGTACACTGTACTGTATTGCCAAGATGTACACGGTACTGTATTGCCATTTGTACACAGTAGAGTCAAGCAAACCCTATCCACGTGTAGATGAGTCAATGCCCCTTCTCATGAGGAAAGGCACAACACCTGATTTCCAACTCTCCTAAGGAAGACTCCTCCTTTTTCCTTCTCGCATCCACGTGCTGGATGGCTGTATTCAGATAGATTGAGCTGCATTCTGTATATGCTTTCTACTCTGCCTGCTGTACACGAATCTTCCTACTCTAATCCCTCTCCCTAATGCATCTCCTCTCTCTTCTCTCCTTCCTTCCCTTCATTCCATTCTCCGTCTCTTCCCTTCACTCTCTCATCCCTTCTCCCCCGCTCCGTTCTCTCCCTAATCCCTTGTGCATGGCTCCGTTCTCTCCCTAATCCCTTGTGCACGGGGGGTTTCATCCCAACCACGTCTCCTCCTCCTGGATGCTTCTCCTCATCAGTCCACGCGGACAATCATCACCAAGGAGGTGAGGTGAGGTGAGGTGAGGTGAGGTGAGGTGAGGTGAGGTGAGGTGAGGTGATGTGAGGTGAGGTGATGTGCAGAGCACATGGATGGGTTACGAGGTGAGGTAGTGCGCAGGCATTTGTGTGTTCTCAGAAGGAGCTGATTCGCAACAGGGGCTTAAGAGCTGATAGCGTTTACCAGGAAGGTCTAGATGGGATAATGTGCATGACGTATCAGAAAGCATGTTTGGCTTCTTTCAAGAACCTCCCCAGTCTCCCCTCGTCCTCCTATTTTCCACGTCTGCTGTCTTAGTCCGCCATTCTCCTTCACTCTCCACCGCCCTCCACCGCTCTCCATCTTCCCAGGTGGGCATGGGCGACCCTGTCACGAGAGCCCTGGGCTTCATTCTCAAGTTCTTCCACATCAGCCTCAACGTGCCTCTGGTATCGCAGGTGAGGTCACCTGCGATGTCGCATGTGAACCACGCGCGTGCTCCTCCTCTCAGTACAAGGGTTGCATCACGTGTTCGTATGCCTCTCAGTGCATCGCGTGTTCAGACGCCTCTCACCTTCTACTTCCTCATCGGAACGTGCCTCTGGTATCAACTGTGAGCACCTCAAAGGTATCCATGCTGTCCAGGTCATGCGAGACGCACTCTACTCTCAACTCCGTTCATGTCACTCTCAAAGTGCCCCTTGTGTTGCAGGCGTGTGCCACAGCTGCTGTTTCGAGAGTGCATGGCATGGCACACCTGCAGCCAAGTATGCTCTCATCTTGGGCACACACTCTTTCGGTGTGCATTTCTGTTTAGTAGGATTTACATAACACCGCCATTGGTGCCGGGCCATGCTTGCTAGTGTTTTCCATCCTCCATTTCCATCCCATCACTTCACATCCATGTTCTAGTTTTGAGGCGCTTCCATGTTCAAATCTTCACCCCCTCTTTGTACTTCCCTTTCCTCCTTCCACCTTGCATCTCCCTCCCCTTCTCGTTCGACTTCCCTCCCATGCACACCCAAGCCACTCTCCTCCACCTCGCCTCCACCCATGTTGATTTCTTCACAATTCTCAAGAACCAGACAACCTCATCTCCCATCTACCCACACTCAGCCTCGTGGCAAATCCTCCCCCACTGATGCTGTCTCTACACACTCCCCCCACCAACCCTTCCTTGTCCTTCCTCTGGCCCTATAATCCCTGGCCCTATTTTCCCCCATCCCCCCACCCATGGCAGTATGTCTCGCTGGTCTTCATAGGAGTCCTCGTCACTGTCTCCATTAGAGGCTTCCTCACTAACCTCACTAAGGTGAGTGGGTAAACCTATGGTTTCTTGTTCTAGTCCATTCAATTGCTACTCTGCACCTGGCTATGCGTTTGATTGAACTAACAGCACGTCGCCTCTTTCTTCCACACACTGTCGCCTCCTCTCCCCACAGACCCCCAACCCCCCCACCCTCCCCCCCCTCCGTGCTCTCCCTCAGCCTCCCCGTTTTCTCTCAGTTCGTCTCTGCATTGCCAGGTGATGCTCGTCAAGCCTCCAGCCATACGAGTCTCCCCATGTTTGCATTTTCTTCCCCTCCCCCATCCCTCACTGTCTCCCCCTGTGTGTTCTCCTTCCCTCATCCCCTGTACAGTTCCTCTCAGCAGTGTCAGGAGGGGCTAGTGGGGCGTCCAGCAATGCGGTGCTCTTCCTGGCAGAGATCATGGGCACCTACTTTGTCTCCTCCATCCTCCTTATAAGGAACAGCCTTGCACTCCAATACAGGTGTGCAACTCTGCAACCACTTAAAACCTCAATACGAATTTCCTAGGAATCTCTGTGGTTCTGATCCTCTTCCTCGTGCGCATAGCCCTGACAAGCTAGTGGCAAGCGTTTGCCCTGACAAGCTAGTGGCAAGCGTTTGCCTTGATACGCTTGTCCCCCAAGAGCACGACAAGGCCTTTTACTTGACACGGTCCCGATGTTGCTTTTCTGAAAGTCATGGTTGTCAAAGCCGCCTGCTGCTACCCAAAGTTGCTTATCAATCATCCAGTTGCCGCTGGGTGGCCTCTGTTTCATATCCTGATTTATTCACCTTTGCCTGATTAATTCGACTGGTACCTGCCGTGCCTCTCCCAGGCTTTTGATAACAGAGGTTCTGGGAGGCGACATTCAGTTCAACTTCTTCTACCGGTGGTTTGATGCTATCTTTGTTGCTAGCTCTGTCATCACTATTGCGGTTTTTGCCGCACAGCACACGTCAAAACGAACAGACAAGCACCCCATTGATTGAATCAGATAGATGGCGTACCGTAATAGCAACAGTCAGGTGTTGGTTGGTGGCATGTCAATCCAACTGACTCAGTTGGGTGAAAGACTGACAATAGTCAGTTGGGTTTTCACGTTTTACAACGCAGCTGTGTGTGTGACCTGCCGTCAGTCATTCCCCTGTAGCAGGTGGGTATACATATCTTTTGAAGGAGTCAAGGAGCAAGTTTTACACAGTAAACACTGTCAAGATACACGCTGGGGTTGCCCTTGATCCTCGGGGAAGGGCTACAGGCCAACTACCTGTAGTGTCAACATATATTTGTATATGTTATAGGCTAGATAGGTGCATGCTCATAGAGAGTACAACACCTTAGGACAAAACCACCCTGTATCACTCATTCTAGTTCATTGCATTACTCTGAGATGGTATCACGCTAGGTTAGTGTCAAACATATCTTTGTATGTTGGTATAGACTACACAGGGTTGTGCCTTAGAGAGTACAACCCACTAGGTTATATTCCCTTGTATGCCATGGTTCTACTCATTCGCTAACTTTGATATGGTATCATGAGTAGGTTAGGTCCCCCCCGCCCACCAACGCTTCCGCCATAGGTCCTAGCCACCCCGTTGCCCTCCCGCCCGTGCTGGCCCGTCCCCTAGTGGCCCCCCCGTCGCCTAGCCGGCCCCGTAGCCCAGCCGGCCCCGCCTCCTAGCCGGCCCTGTCGCCTAGCCGAACCCGCGCCTAGCCGGCCCCGTCGCCCAGCCGGCCCCGTCGCCCAGCCGGCCCCGCCGCCTAGCCGGCCCTGTCGCCTAGCCGACCCCGCAGCCTCGCCGGCCCCGTCGCCTAGCCGGCCCCGTCGCCCAGCCGGCCCCGTCGCCTAGCCGGCCTCGTCGCCCAGCCGGCCCCGTCGCCCAGCCGGCCCCGTCCCCTAGCCGGCCCTGTCGCTTAGCCGACCCCGTCGCTTAACCGGCCGCGTCGCCCAGCCGGCCCCGTCGCCTAGCCGGCCCCGTAGCCTAGCCGGCCCCGTCACCTAGTCGCCCAGGCGGCCCCATCCCCTAGCCGGCCCCGTCGCTTAACCGGCCCCGTCGGCCAGCCGGCCCTGTCGCCTAGCGGGCCCCGTAGCCTAGCCGGCCCCGTCACCTAGCCGCCTAGCCGGTCCCATCGCTTCGCCGCTTGCGTCCCCGTTTCCTAGCCACCACGCGGCCCTGTCTTACAGCCGCCACGCGGCCCCCGTCTCCTAGCCGCCGCGCGGCCCCGCCGCCTAACCGTCTGCGCCCCCTCCTCCTAGCCCCCCGCAGCCCAGTCGCATGCCCACCACTCGGCCCCTGTTGACCAGCCGCCCCACGGCCTCGCCGCCCAGCCTCCTCGCGGCCCCGTCCCTCAGCAGCCCCTGCGGCTCCCACCTCTCTCCATCGGCCCCTTCCCACCGCACTGCACCGCAATCTACCGCACACCACTGCTTCCCGCCGCACTCTGTCGCTCAGTCCAGCCCACTACCCACTTCCCCGATAGCCCCTTCTCCTCTCCCTCTCCGTCATGCCCTGTCTGATGTGTCTCACGTCACTCCCCTCTTGTCGGTCGTCCCCATGGAGTAGTCGGCTGACTCTGGGGGCCATGCGGCTCGGGGGTTCGCCGCTTGTCTCCGCCTCGGCTGCTCCTCATCCGCCACCGCAGCAGCCTCCGCCGTCGCCACCGCCGCCACCGCAGCAGCAGCAGCCGCCGCCACCGCAAGGGTTCGAGAGCTCTGGGGGTGCGGGCGTTGAGGAGGGTGCTGGCTCTGGGGGTGCTAGTTCTGGGGGTGCTCGTTCAGGGGGTTCTGTCGTGGCTTGTCTCGGCAATCCTAGGGGTGGCACGGGTGCTGGAGAGGTTTCTCGTTCTGGGGGTGTTGGCGTGGAACGTTCTGGAGGTAGCTGTGGTGCAGCTGGAGGTTCTGGTGTCAACGTGGAGCAGCAGCATCAGCAATTGCGGCCGGGGTCCGCCCTTCGCCTCCTCGGTCTTCATTCCCCCGACCGCCCCCCTAAGCCTCCTCCGCCGCCGCCTCCCCCGCCTGTCTTACGGCCCTGTGTTTCCTCCTCCGGACTCATTACAGACTCGTTTTCCCCTCGTTCCCCTGCTGTGACTCCTCCCTTGTCTCCTGACCGGACCCCCCCCTCCCGCTGGTGGTCTCACCGTGCCTCTCGTGCTCGTGCTGTCTCTCCTGTTCAGCGCTCTCACCCTATGTTGCTCCGTTCTCACGTGTCTCGTGCTCCCCTTCTACTGTCACCTCCTCAGTCGTCACTTGTTGTCTCCCCTCTTCCTCTCTCTTATTTTCTCGCTTCTCTTGTTACCGACCCGTCTCTTCTTGTCTCCACTCTTGACGCTCTTGTCACAGCCGACGCTGACTTTGCCTCTACCCGCCACCTTGACTACGCCACCGCTCTTGTTTCTGACCGTGCCCGTCCTCCGTCCGTCGGGGGTGCACCTCCCCTTGGCAGTGACGTTCTAGAGGATAGGCAGTATGAGCTAGCTTTCCTGTCTAAGGCCGCTCGCCATCTCTACTCCATACTGCTAGTCCCTGAGGCTGACCCGGATGCTGAGGGTGACATCCCGACCCCTCGCACCTACGCTGAGGCGACCTCGGGACCCTTGGCCTCTCAGTGGATAGCTGCCGTGGACGCGGAGATGGCATCTTGAAGATCCATTGGCGACTAAGTCGACGCAGCTCCCTCACCTGGGGTGAACGTAGTCGATGGCCGGTGGCTCTTCAAGGTGAAGCGCCCTCCCGGAGAGCCGCCGGTGTTCAAGGCGCGCTACGTTGCTAGAGGCTTCAATCAGCGCGAGGGTGTTGACTTCTTTCAGACCTTCGCCCTGACCTCGAAGATGACCACTCTTCGGGCGCTGCTATACGTAGCAGCACAGCGTGACTATGAGTTGCACTCCCCTGAATTCTCCATAGCGTCTCTCAAGGGCAGTCTGTACGAGCAGGTCTACCTGCCACGTCCGCCCGGCTTCACTGGCACCTTCTCCCCTGGTACCGAGTAGCTCCTCCAGCACCCGGTTTACGGCTTGCGGCAGGCGCCACGTGAGTGGTACGACACGTTGGGTGCTACGTTAGCTAACCTGCAGTTCTTTCCGTCGTCTGCAAACCCTTTGCTCTTCGTTCGTTCTGGCCAGACTACGTTCTACATCCTTGTCTACGTAGACGACATGGTCTTCGCTATTGCAGACAGAGACACACAGGCCTCCGTAAAGGCTGAGCTGCTGAGGAGACCCATCTGCACTGACCTAGGAGACCTGCGCTACTACCTTGGCTTGCAAATCTCCAGGGACAGAGCAGCACGCACCATCTCTCTCACACAGTCACACTTGGTGCGCGAGGTCCTTCAGAGGTTCGGTCTTCAGTTCTCCTCCACACAGCCCACACCTCTGCCAGTAGACACAGGCTCTCGGCTCTAGTCCCTGAGGCGTTTGTAGAGCCTAGTGGTCCTTAAGCAGAGCTGGTGGATTGCCTCATACACCTGACGACTTGCACACGGGCAGGGCAACCGTGAGACCTGGGTGAGGAAAGCGGGTGTAGAAGGAAACAGACTTGTCAAAAGTGACGTCGCGAGAGTGAAAGAAACGGTGAGATGGCGAGTGGTAAAAGTGTCAGTCAGACGTGTCTAGGGGGAAGCCAAGGAAGACACAGGGGATAGTGCGAGGAGTGTGGCCACTGGTTAAGCTGGTGAGCGGCATAGCGAACGTCGAACAGCCACAGAAATGAGGTGCACCGGCATGGATCATGGAGGTACGAGCCACCTCCATGACCAAATTGATGCGTCGCCCGGCGACCCCATTATGCTGCGGGGCCTCCGGCAGGGTATACGACATGGTGATGCCCTCCGCTCGACAGAACTGGTCAAGCCGCCTAGACGGTCGGAGTGAAGACGCAGCACAAGGAGGCCAAGGTGGACTCGCGCAACTACGACCCACGAGATAAGAACGTCAGGCCCGTCGGCCTTCCGCTTCAGGGGAAACATCGTGGCGTAGTGCGTGTAGTCGTCGACGAGCAACAGAAGTAGCACTCTTGACGCGGCCCACGGACAGGGGCGGGGCCCCAGACGTCCACGTGCAGGGTCTGGAGTGGCGCAGGGGTAGGGGGAAGCAAGGAGGAGTGAGGGGCATGGCGCTGCCGGCCCTCAACGCTGGGCATGCATGGCGGCGCTGGCGAGGGAGGGAGGGCAGGGAGCAATGCAGAGAGACCTAGGACAAGACCGTGCTCTGACATGTGACTCAGATTTGGGAGTGCAGGGTGACCTAAGTGGTGGTGCTACAGCTGCGACGGGTGGGTGAGCGATCGACACAAGCAAGCTGCAGCGACCTCGGAGGGCGCGACCACCTTGGGGGACGCTCCCACTGGGGGGGACGCGGTGTCTAGAGTGAACAGGCCAGACACCGAGTCCCCGGGGAACGTGGTGAGAGGGGCACTAGTGGCGGCCTCGGTGTAAACTCTGTACCGCTCTTATCCAGGAAACGTAGGGGTGACGACGAGGTCCTGAAGACAGCCGACACCAACTAGTTTCCTGGAGAACCAGGAGATGTGGAAGTCTGTAAGGGAGCCCGAGAGAACTGCGGACAGGGAAGGGTAGTGGAGCTATGTGCAACTACAGGACCAGAGGAGGGGTCAGCAAGCGCTACAGCGACACGGGCGGCAAGCGGCGTGAGTGTAGTGTGGTCGTAAAAGAAGTAGGCGGACGCACCCGAGTCTAGCATAAAAGAGAGTGCGGTAGTGGCGTCCGAATGCGGAGGAGCTAGAGTGGAGCCGAGGATAAACAAGGCAGGTGGTCCTATGAGTAACACAGCAGGGGAACCTAGGCTACATACAGTGGACACACCTACACTAGGCAACACAGGGAAATAGGGTCTAGTCAGACCAGAGTCATCAGCATATATAACATACATAGCAGACGTAATCTGATCCATTTCCAGTTCAAATACAGACACACGGCGACGCACCAGGCTGTACCAGTCAGGGGGTCCGACGCGGGGCCGAAGCGGAAACGGAAGAGGTCGTCCAGGCGGCGGTGTGACCGGGACGGTCGCAGACGGTGCTGCAGCGGGGGCTGGATTGAAGCTGGTACTGGCAGGTCACCACATTGGAGCTACCACCCGACACTGAGCTACGCGGCCCGCCATCACGACCACCACCATGACGACCACCACCAGCGTTGCCGGGCCACCACGGTAGCGGGGGTCCCCACGGCTGCAGCTGCTGGTGGGACTTCTACTGCTACTGCTGCTAGGGCTGCTGCTGCTGTTGCGGCTGCGGCTGCTGCTCCTACTGCTGCACCGGGGCATCAGCCCATGTCCGCTCGTCTGCACCACCATCCCCTCCACCACCGCCGCCACCTCCGCCACCCCCACCACCCCTCCCACCACCATGCCC